TTACCAAAGATGAAAAAAAAAAAAACAAGAACCAGATGGTTAACCTACCTTAAGAGAAATATTCCTTTATGTTTATACTCTAATATTATTTTGCTGAGAGGTTTTAACTTTGTCCCAATTATTTCTGTGCAAAAAGGGACACTGTGCACTTTTAAGGCACATCTTCTGAGTGGTAATTACAGACACTCCCTTTAATCTTAATTGCACCTGCTACAAAGTTGTAGAAATTGCAGCTGGCAGTAGCCATGAAGACACTGGTTTCTCTGAGCTGTCTTCTTTGCTCCAAGCAGGACGTTTCAAAAACTTTTAAAACGCTATTTACACACAGACACACATTAAGCTTTTCTTCTGTGAACAAATGTTCTGCAGCATATTTCCTAGATACGAGCAAAAAAGTTGAAGGTGCATGTGGCTGGGTCTCAGCCCACTCTGCAGCCAGGCACTCCTGGGAAGAAACACCTGGCAATGCATCCTTCACATGAGGGTCAACCAAATCCAGCAAATCCAACAAATCTTGCATTTGTTCTTTGGCATCTGCAGAGAACATCTGGATTGATTCTTTTTTTATCATCTCTTGGGAAAAAAAAAAAAGTATGACAAGCGTAAAAATCTGCAGGGAGGCTTCATTCAAAGATCCAGAGGGGTGGATGGTAGATGTAGTAGGACAAAATGTAAGTGAAAACATTACATGGTGGGATGAAAAGAGACTTAGAGATAAAGTATGTGTGAGGTAGTTCATCTGAAACTGGAGTGGTTTGGATAATAGACAATGCATGGAAGGACTGTAAAAGCATGAGTTTATACCAACAAGAGTCAGTGGATAAGGAATTGGCTGTGTGGCTGCACTCAAAGATTTGTGGTAAATGGCCTGATGCCCAAATGGAGACCAGTGATGAGTGGTGTTCCTCAGAGATCAGTACTGGGACTGGTGTTGTTTAACACCTTTGTCAGTGACATGGACTGGGTATTGAGTGCACCCTCAGCAAGTTTGCTGACGACACCAAGCTGTGTGGTGTGGCTGGCACGCTGGAGGGAAGGGAGGCCATCCAGAGGGACCTGGACAGGCTGGAGGGGTGGGCACAAGCCAACCTCATGAGGTTCAACAAGGCCAAGTGCAAGGTCCTGCACCTGGGTTGGGGCAATTCCAAGCACAAATAGAGGCTGGGCAGAGTAGGATTGAGAGTAGTCCTGAGGAGAAAGACTTCGGGGTGTTGGTTGATGAAAAGCTCAACGTAAGCCAACAACGTGTGAGTGCAGCCCAGGAAGCCCGGAAAACCAACTGTATCATGGGTTACATCAGAAGAAGCATGGCCAGCAGGCTGAGTCTCCCTTTTTACTCCACCATTGTGAGACCCCACCCGGAGTACTGTGTCCAGCTTTGGAGTCCCCAGCACAAGAAGGACATGGACCTGTTGGAACGGGTCCAGAGAAGGGCCACAAAGATGATCAGAGGGCTGGAACACCTCTCCTACAAGGACAGGCTGAGACACTTTGGGTTGTTCAGCCTGGAGAGGAGAAGGCTCTGGGGAGACCTCATTGTGGTCTTCCAGTACCTGGAGGGTGCCTACAGGAAAGCTGGGGAGGGACTTTTCATAAGGGCTTGTAGTGATAGGACAAGGGATAATGGGTTCAAACTTGGAAAGGGTAGATTTAGATTAGCTGTAAGGAAGAAGTTCTTCTCTATGAGGGTGATGAGACACAGGAAGAGGTTGCCCAGGGAAGTTGTTGTTGCTCCATCACTGGAGGTGTTCAAGACCAGGCTGGATGTGGCCTTGTGCAACCTGGTCTAGTGGAAGGGGTCCCTACCCATGGCAGGGGAGTTGGAGCTAGATGATCATTGCGGTCCCTTCCAACCTAAACCATTCTATGATCCCATGATTCTATGGTTCTGTGATTATGCTTGGGTGATCATTAATTATTTCAGATTGATAGGTAGGTAGGTAAGTAGGTGAGTAGATAGAATATAAATAGAGGTAGAGGGTGGATATAGAAGAATATTATGAGTTTCTTAGTTTTACTGAATTCTTCATGTGTACAATACATAAAACATTTCAGAGATAAAATATCTCTTTTTGTTTGTTAGGAGCTTTTTTCTGAAACAATTTTTTCAATTTTGGAAGAAAGCCCAATTTAAAATCTGTAATAATCCCGATTCTGAAACATAGGATTTTATCTTGTGTGAAGCCAACTCTGTCCAAATAAAAATTATTAACATTATGTAGCCATTTTATTTTTTTTGTTGAGGCCTTTTCCACCAGAACAGCCTTGGGTTGTAGGTCTTCTTGCAGTGCTTGGTGTGAGAAGCTTCCCTAGTTGCCATGTGCTGGTTGTCTCCTGGAGAAGACTCATGATACTTCTGAGAGCTCAGGCTTTGACTGATGTAAATGGTGGTTTTGGGGGCCCAGGAAACCATAAGCTGAAATTATTTCACCTCATTTTAGCCACCTTTATTTATGTTGGCTAAATGAATTTTTAGCATCTTTGTGTTTGCAAGAGACAGGTGTTTGCTTTGGTCACCCACACCTCAGTGTTTCTACCTCCATCTGAGATACTTGGGTCTCTAGACATCTGCAAATGGCTCTCAGGTGTGACAGAGGATGTGTGGGAGACCCTTGCCACTGGAGTGGCATCTGGAGGCTTAGCAGGATGCTTCACTGCACTTCAAGTGACACCTGTCTGGGGTGGACAACTGAATCTTGCCAATAGGCAATGACTCTCACCTTGCCTTAGGTATCTCTTTCAGGGCATGTTGGGGGATGGCTGCCTTCCCATGAAGTGTGTAGACTGATGCCCACCCCATAAAGGGCTCCTTTTTGGTGGTTCAAGTTAGACAGTTTAACTACTTTCTGGCTTATTCCATGTCAGTTCCTACTGGAGCAAGTTTGAAGTCAAAAGTCCATTAGGTCACACAAATTAGGCCACAAAATAACTTCATAATAACAATATTTAATATTTATGTACATCAGTGAGGCCAGTGACTGCACAGTTGGCAGGACAGAGGGTTCCTGCAGTGGAGTCCCCTCTGGCACACAGCCCAGGGCAGGACAGCCTTGAGCACGAGGATGGCATCAGTACAGTGTGTTTACTTTCCTGGTCATGTGTGCCAGTGGGAATCTCTCCCTCTCCCAGTCCTGGCACAACCCAAACTGGCTTTATCATGGAGAATAGTGTCAGGGAGACAAAACTAAAGGATGGGGACAGGGCTGATATTTAGGGTGTGTAAAGAGCTCATAGAGCCCCTTAGCAGATGAAGGAGTCTCTCTTGGTCTGGCCACCTGCTGAGTAGCCTTACTTCTAGCTGCCTCCTGGACTCTTCCTGGATGAATCAGTTGGCTTTATTTTGATGTCCACTTCATACGGTAGCACCGCTGACAATGAACATGAGTTTTTTAAGCCATCTGACAGGTTTGGATACACTGAGTCATGACTGCAAACTACAACAAGTCTTACCCTTTTTTTTTTTCTAAAGAAAGTACTTTTAAGTTTTATGGATCAAATTTCCTTCTTCTAGGGGTGAATCTAGATTCCCATGAAGTGTACATGTGCTCCCCATCTATTGCAACTGACATTTTCTTCCTCATTTTGTATAGAGGGGATATTCATACAAAGTATTCTGTGTGCTGCAATAGAGGACAGCACAAACAGCCATGTGTGTCTGCAGTAACTTACTCCCGTGCTACAGTGCAAATACATGAACAACTTTCGACTGAGAAAACATAAATGTCTCTCTTTGAAAAATAGACTCTAAATCCTTTCAATGTATTCAGATTTTCATAACTGCATAGATGCATTCATGATGGATAAAGATTATCTTACAGTTTAGCTGACTTAGGGAAGTCAGTGGTGTGTCCAAGAATTAACCTTTGAGGAAGACACTGAAATGATGAGGTTTCTGAAATTTGCCAGTCATGGACTTTAGCATCAAAGGCTTGATCTTGAGTGATGATGGAGAATAATGCAGTTCCTGGTTGGGATTACTGTTGCTGTAGCACTAAGGCTGATGCAATTTGTTGCTTTTCAGATTATATCTCTTATTCATTACTAAGCTGCACATAATTACTACCTTTATCAATTTAATCTTCATCTTTGCCAGTTAATTGATTTGTTCGTGTGATCTATTCTAGACCAGCCTTACAGATCTGTGTGGAAGTTTGTGAAATTCCTATGCAGTCTCATGAGGGCAAAATTTGTGGTGAGATTCTCCACTGTTTATTAAACCAGACATTGTTAAGGTCTTGCTCCAAACCCTACTGTCTACACTGACCCAATGCCACTCCAGGGCTATCACATCTCTCAGATGCTCACAAAGAACTGGTTTGGAAGAGCACTGGACTTTGTCAAACATGACAGCAAGCTACCAACTGAGCACAAGAAGATTTGGCTCCAGGGTGGCTGAAGAAGGCTGAAAACTGTGTGCTTCAGTTGCCTTTGCAGTGTCACAAATGCTGCTCGATATATTCTCTGCACATCCTAATTTAAATCTGGGAGTGCCTGTGCAGTAAATTAATAGGAAGAGATGTGTGAGCTCAAGGTGGGATTTGAAGGGGAAGGGAGGTTGTTTACATCCAATCAGAGTGCCTGTTTCGTGCAGCTGATAAATGCATGCATTAACAACAGTTCATTCTCCCATAGACAGAAAAGAACAAGTGATGAGCTTGAATCCGGGGACTTTTGTGTTTTATGCACAATTACAGCAGTCAGGACCCGACAGACTGGTAGTTTTGCCAATATCTGAGATTTAGCAGGAATATTTAGAGAGATGAAAATGTGAAGTCTAAGATCTAGTCTTAGATCTAGATTAGATTAGATGGAGTCTAGATCTAAATGATCTAGTCTTTTTCCACATGCCTTTTTTTATAAAAAAATTCAGTTTTCGCCATAAAACTCCTGAACATCTTGGGCTTTCTTTGTCATCCTGTTATAAGTACAGCACAGTGCACTATACTTATTGCATGTGTATTGGTAGCTCGGGGTTTGTCCTGGCATTCCCTGCAGGTCGTTCACATTCCAGAAATATTTGTCTGAAAAACAATGAATGAAAGCAGATTAATTAATATTCCAAAGGAACATCAGATTTACTGCAAGCATCTTGTACAATGAAAATAAACAGGCAAAAGGAGGCAATGGTGATAAATGAAATCTGGAAGAGGTTTTCTTCAGTGTTGTAAAATGACATTTTTGCTACTGGTGACCACCTAAAATCACCTCTACTTCTCATCTCTCATTTACAGATGCTGAGGTATCATTACACTTTATCAAAAAGGCTTTTTTGAAAGGAACACAACCACACAGCTGAGTATATCAACACATCACACTGCCCTGCTGTTTTGTAATATCTGAGGATCGGGTTATCCCTGACTACAATGTGAGGGCAAGAGACAGTGTGCAAATGTGTCTGTACTGCCTCAGCTTCCTGCAGGAGCTCATTCAGATCATGTACCACTTCCAGATCCTGGAAAATAAAGCTGGGAAAAGTGTAAAGTGCTCTGAAACCTTTTACTGCATACCAACCTTTCTTCTTCTCCTCATACATGTACCACATACGAAGCTGGTAAGTCCATTGATGACTTGAATAAAACAAAGAATAGCTTCAATCACACCAATAACCAGGAGAACAGAGAAAAGGACGACATTCCAAAGGATGATGTTTTCAGGTTCTTTGCAAATGCTCCATGTTGTCTGATTGAACAAATAATTGTCTCTGTGATAGAGAAAAATAATCAGCAATGTGTTAGCAAATAAAAATTTGACAATGCTCCCTGTTTTCTGGCATTACATTTTCTGAACTTGATTGCACAAAGTGAGTCTCCAATTCTACTATAATTGGTAAAAGCTGGTGATTCTCTTCAGAATTGCCTTTGCAGAGGTGCAGTTGATGATGAGGGAAGAGAGCCGTATCTATACTTTTTTGCATGCACAAAAATCTCCCTTTTGTTTTATGGCAGTGGTAATAGCTAAAAAGAAAGGTGCCCAATTGTTTTAAAATGTGTCACCATATTCTCCATTCCTCCTTTAGTATCTCAGCCCAGTCCATCTGTCATCTCTAAATCTGGCTTGAAGAACGTGGTTGCCAAAGTTAACTTTAAAGAGTTAGAGAAGATTTTTGCTCTGCTTTTCAGAAGTAGGTAGAGTAGACTCAATTCATGATGATCTAACAGATTAGTGTGACATACTTATCACACATTTCCTTTTGACTTTGGTGGGGATCACAGCTCAGCTGCCTTTTGAAAGTGTGGTGCAACTTATGCACAAGGGGCAGCTGACAAGCACAACAGAAGAAATAGGCAGTTTGGCCAAAGATGATCCTTGGTCAAAGAGCTGACAAGTTGGAACATGCTGGCTCAGAGAAATATGAACTTAGTTGTAGACCAAGTGGACCATCATTTCGCTTTGGAAAAAATTCAGCTTTGTTATAAAAAGATATGTGTGTGTATGAGATTAGGGAAAACAAAGTTTGAGGAGCCTGTGAGTCATACTCACTCCAGAGTGTCGTTCCTGAAAGGGTAAAGGTATTCTCCATCACCAGTGTCACACAGGGGACCCCCAATCAGCCCCAGCGAGGAGATGACTGCACAATATGCTCCTCCCACGAATCCCAGGACAGCCAGGGCCACTGACAGCAGCATCTGAAAAGGGAAAGACCTTCAACATCACATGCATAGAGACATTGAGTAGCATGGAAAGCTTGCACTGAACGAGAAGGAATTATCTTTATCTGCTTCTTACTATGTGCTGAAACTCATAATAACAGTACGATACTCGTGGGAATAAAAGATAATTGATTTTTTCCAACTGTTACAGCTATCCTAATGTTAAAGGATTTCAGAATGTATTTGTTTTGCTTTTAAAAGTGGGCAAGCCCAGGGCTTTAATTATTCATATTTTTGTAGTTGACCAATCAAGTATGAAAAATCTGATGGTCTTCTGTCAAAAAGTCAATATGAAGCCAGTACTGGCTTGATGTGGTTCATATCATGAGGTGCCTTAGCATTGCCACCTCATCACCAAGAGCAATTTTCACATCCCTTGTACCAGCAGAAATTAACAAGAAACTATTGAAGCAGATATGAAAGCAGCAAAAGATGCATTAGGTGGTTTTGCTAATTGATGAGGAATGCCAAAGAGCCTTTCTTATTGCTGCTTTCCTTCAGTTTGCAACAGTATGACGTGGTTACCACTGCTCATGTTGAAAAATCTAATTGTGCTGAATGTGGCAACGAAAGAGCAGGGACTTTGAGTTGTATGTAATGCACCTGTACGTTCTACATTGGCCACTCCCACTCTGTTTTGGGGTAGTTTTCTATTAGTGGATAGTTACATCTAGTGCTGTTTGTATATAGAAACAAGAATCTCAGGCTGGTGCTACTGGTGTTTTATGTGGGATAGGCTTCCCACTAGTCCTGTTACGAGTCCCTGCCAGAGGTTGTTCACAACTGTGCCAAGAAGGAGAAGACTGACAGAGCCAGGGGAAGACCTGGACCAGGGGTAAGGCAGCAAGACTGCCTTGGCGTCAGGGCAGAGGCATGGCTGAGGAAGCACACAGGAAACACTCCCATCTATGACTCCAGTTTGAAGCCAAACACCTCTGGCAATATTTCTTTGTTGCCAGCAAATACCAGGGAAATCTACTAGCCCATAAGGAAAGCAAAAAGCTCCTACTGCCAGCTACTCCACAGAACGTTCCATTACAGAGTCAAATGGAAACACTCACCATCCATGTTGCAGATTTGTGACATAGGCTTGAAAACTATTCACTATCCAAACGTGTTCAGGCTGGTGAATGCAGTTTTCAGCTTGCCAACTGATGACATTACTGCTCTCTGTACAACCCTGCATGCTGCCAGTGTGTGAACTGGCTCATTTTGTGTGTCCTTTTACCTCTAAAGCAATTCTTGAGTTAGAAGTTGCTGGGATTTCTCATGAGATTTATTTCATCACAACTGATTAATAACTCACAAAGCTGAACCCTCTTTTTGTCTTTTATCTGTTTGTTGGCTGAGTTGCCTCTTAGCAGAGTTTCACTGTCAGCAAATTGTACGTGGTTTAGTATAATGCCCCAGACCAAAGCAGTGCTGGGTTGTAGCTGACGCACTCTCTCAGAACAGGACCACCAGCCATGCCTCACGGTGAAGGTGAGTGACTGATACTCTGCCTGAAACTCCTGCCTACACTGAACCACTTCTCCCCAGCTATTTTCTAATTTACTTCACCTATGTATTCTGCACCTTGTTTGAAGGATCGTAATTATGCTATCGATTAATTTTAGCACAGCACAGCAATACAGGCATTCCAAAGACAATATTATAGAAATTGTCAAATAGTATTTTGCTGCTACTATGATTTATGATAGTGACTAGCACTAGTACTAACACTAGTAGTACCCATCAGTGCTATCTTTGGTGACTGTTCTTTTGACATGATTTTCTCATTTGAAGTCTGTTGGTTGTATGGCTAGCTTCATCTCATCTATTTCTTTTACTCTGCACATGTTTATATAGACAAAGACTACTTGCCATTCTAATGGGGGTCTGAAGTTGCTGCAGGGGTTAAATTTGCTCTCCTGGGCACTTTCTAGACACACAGTGGCATTTCCCCATTATGTCTACTCCACTGGATTCTTTTATGGAGTCTTGTCCCATATTTTAGCGAAACCAAACAATTTTATTAGTTATGGAATCATTTCAACCTTTCAGCATTTTCCCTAGCCGTACCAGCTTATTTTATCACTTGAAAAAATATTTTTTAATTTCCTTTTGTGTGTACCATCTTCATTTATCACGTTTTCTTTTTTTTTTTTTTTTAAATTCCTTATTTTTGTATTCAGTTGCAATGTGAGGTTGAAGCTAGGATGCTTGAGTTTGTTGAAATTAGTTTCCCATAGTGTTGGTCTGTTCCCTACCTCTTTCAAAGCTTTAGCTGAACATTTTTGCTGATTTTCTTTTAATGGTTTCTCTGCTTTACCCTTCACACAACTGGATTGTCTCTGGTGAGGTGATGAAGACTTTTAGCATTTATTCTTCAAGCGTTTGCGTCAGCTGCTGTGGTGAAGTTACCAAGTTCCTCCTGTCTCAGCTTGTGTTGCTCTTTATTGTTCTGGTTTTTGCTTCATGCACTTTTCTTTCTTCTCTGTTTCCTTCTCTGGATTTTTTTTTTTCTTTCCTTTCTTTTTTTTTTTTGTGGAATTAATATCCTGACTGGTTATCCAGCTATCTTTGCTTATCTAGGTTGGTTTGTCTGGAAAGCTGCCGTGGTTATTGTTCTCCTAGTAACTAACTCTTAAGGAAGGCTTAGAGAGAAATACTGGAGTATGTTTGCTGATGCAACAACAGAAGCTGTATTTTGGGGGTTTGTTTGTTTCCCCCTCATTGTGTCAGTGCAGTGGATTCTTTCAGATATGTACATGCTAAGCTGCATGACATGGAAGCTTTCTAAATATGTTGCTCTCCAAAATCATTACTCCATGATTCAAGGACAAGAAGCCACCTAGGTATGATCACAGGCAACCATTCAAAATGGATTAATGAGAAAACTTACTCAATGCAGCACATAATCACTGTGAACTGGGAAATTCAATAAGCTGAATAAAAGAATGAGAAATTTAATAATTATTATTACTGTTGTTGATACTTCAGCATCATGCAAAGGATATGGTGAAGTCTGAAACTATTAAACCAGGGATTGCAAAAAATATAATAGGATAGAGTCCCTACCCTGAGGAAAATGGCTGTGTTCTGGTTCAATAATTCTGAACATTATTAGCTCTTTAGCTTTTTTTTTTTTTTCTATGAAATGCAGTGCTGATTATTCAGTGTAAATTATAATTTTATACCTAATGTCCCCAAAGTAGGAAACTGGACAAACTAACCTTTGGATTACAGAGGCTCCTGAATAGCTCCTAAATAGTATGGGTGATTTCTCTGCTAGTCGGTAGAAGCCACCAAGACCTGGGGACTCTATATCATGTCCACCCAGACCGACCTTGAAAGGATCTCTGTCAGCCTGGGAAGTCACTGGCACCACGTGTGTTTGTACGAGTCCCAGGGCTCCTGTGTCTCACACCATACTCTGCCTTGGGCGTACAGCCCGTATGCTCAGGGCATCTGAGAAACCCTGCTGTGGGTGTCGGTGTGACTGCTCCCACTGTCCCTAAAGCAAAGTTTCCCTGAAGTTCCTTCTCCTGAAGAAACACATCATTAGCTTTCAGATCTCCCTGCAATACTCACCTCCTTTTGCATGCTTGGAAATCACTCCTGCACAGGAGCTGTACAGGGGAAATGGTTGTTTTTAATGCCGTTCATAAGCACATGCTCTTTCCTTATGTCCCTGTCTCATCTCTACATTGAGCTACAGTCTGTTTAAACCATGGAGTGACTTGTAGAGCTTCACCCCTTTCCACCTCAAAGAGGGGGCAACTCCCACAGTCCCACAAGAGCATTTTCAAAGATATACTGTTCTCACTGAGCTTATTTGCTAGTTTTGTGTGAGTAGATTCATGATCTGGCCATCAGCTAGCTCTCTCTATACAAATATTGCATCACATAACCGATCTACATTCTCATCAATGTCTGTTGCATTCCTCTATAAAAGCGAGTAAGAAAAAGGAGGAACAACTTGTAGGTAACCATTCAGTCATGAGAAGGTGTAGACAAGACAGCTGGCACCCATGTGCTGCTGCTAGGAATGGGTCAGACAGCAAAAGGGTGGTGGAGGGGAACGGAGAAGGGCTGGGGGTCTGCAGATGTGGGCTGCTGGGCAGCACTGTGCTACCACCCACGTCAGTGGGCTGGGGGCTTGAGCCCGGCCAGTCTGGGGAGCTTTGACTCCTAGCTCTGTAATTTTCAGTGCAGGGATGATGGGTGGTGAAAGCAGACCTGAGGTGCTGTGTGAACTGTGCTCTGTTCAGCTGGATTTCCCCTCATGACTTACCACATCCAGCAGTGCATGAGAACATCCACAGTACAGATGCTTTTCACCACCACTTTCATACACCACCCAAAATCAGGAGAAAGCAGCTGTCTCAGGCACTGGGTTCAGGGTGCATAGGCTCTGCGACTGGCCTACTTGGCCATCATTAGCATCCCCTCTGTACCTGTGACATTTGTCAAGATCAATTTAGTGACATGTCTCTTGGGATGTGCTTGCTGACATCCTAATGAAGAATGTTATTTTGGTATTATGAATTAAGTAAAACATCTTGAAGAGCTAAAGGTCTTCTCATGGATCAAACTAAATATTAATTGAAGAGTACAGAAGAGACATGCTTTATTGTATGAAAACTCTCTTTCCAGTCTGCTTATGGGAAGGATGTACACTAAAAAATCATGTTTAAATCAGTTTACTCTTGGTAATAATGATAGTCATGTGGAAGTCTGTGCTCAGGGCTTGAGGATTAACAGAGATGCCTGTATAACATGTTGCTTTATAATATTCTTAATTATCAAGGGAAAAAGTCTCTCTGGCCTTTCTCTGGAGGACAGAAAGCCCAAATTGCATTTGCACCTTTCATGTGCATAGTACTTGGGCAAATGTGTGCTATGTGTCAAATCATGGAGACCAGCCTCCAGGAAGCAGTGCTGGCTCCTCAGGGCCAGCCACAGCAGCTCAGGCTTTTAGCATGGGACTGCAGAGTAGGAGACCTATCTGCTCCTACATAGGTAAGCAAGGGTGAATCTGTGGAAAAGCAAATTGCCATGGAAGGTTATGGATGAAACAGGACCGGATGGAAGCAGAAGGAATAGGCAGCTATCTCAATCTTGCCTTGAGCAGAAGGAAGCTGGAGCTATGTTTTACTTGATGTGGGGTGAAGTGAAGTAGGTGTGTATCCCTCTGCCCTCAGCGTTGTGCTTAAATGCTCCAGCACCTGCCCTGGCTGAGTGTGATTTCCCTCATGGCAGTGGCTGCAATATCATAACATTCTTCTTGGCTAACTGGGCTCCCAGCCGCAGCCTAGGGACGCTGTAGATCAAGCTCCTCTTCAGCATTTCTCTGACATGGCTGTTGATGGTGGTGAGATGGTTTGTCATTGTACATCTCCACTTGCTGAGCAGCCATTTAAGAGCTATTGCACAAACCCTACAGTGCCATTTCAACATACAGATATGCACTTACCCCACATCTGTTAGCGCAACATCTCGCTCCGCCTGCTCCCAGCATCATGAATGCTGGCAAAATAACCTGTGAAGAAAGCACAAACCAAATAGGTGTGCAGTACTTCCTGGGATGGTTTTTAAAATCTAGGAGTGGGGGCATCATGTTCCTCAAATGCAAACCAACTTCTATCTCTTCTCTGTGGGTTACATCGGCTTAGATGTTGGTGCTTGCTGAAGAGTAACTCAGGAAGAAATGTGGGATTACAGCTGGAGATGGCTGGCAAGTTCCTGATACAGTATTTCTGACTACTGAAGCTACACTGCTTCTTTTCAGCAGGGTTTTCTTGTTTTGGTTTGTCTTTGGGTTTTTTTTCAGGACAAAATGTGTCAGTTTTGGGAAAATGGAATTTCTCCTCAGAAAAGATGCATCACTGGAGTAAGAATTATGTCGGTTCAAATCTTCTGAGCAACCTGCTCTGGCTTATAATTAGGAAATCAGTCTTAAACTTCCTGAAACACATCTGAGTTTGGTTCTTCATAATAAGCTTCTGAAAACCTACAAAATGGATTTTCTCAACAGAGAACTCCTATTTCTCACCAGCCTTCTCCATGGTGATTATCAGGTGGAGCAGGATTGATACAACGAAGTCAGTTAACTATCCATGTCTCAGGATATAACACCACCTTACAGAGGCACTCTGGAGATAGGAAAAGTTGCATTTAGTATGATAGAGGGCAAGAAAGCTTGTGTAGGTCTAGCTGTGCAGGCAGAGCACTCCTGCTGCCTTGCCTCCTTCCACCACTGCCTTTGTAGGTATCTCAGAGAAACACAAGAAAACAAGTATTTGAGAAAGTAGGAAATGGTCCCTATAAAGTTAATGAAAGAAGGAGAACCCTACAAACAAACAAAAGACATAAGAGCTGTATAAACAGGTTGACAAGATGTTGGAGAGATATTGCCCCATGTGTTGTAGAAACAGCAGAATATCCATGGTAAATGGAGTCTGGGCAATTTATATGGGTAGTGTGAATATCTCTGTTAGGCTGTATAGGAGACAGTTATGAAAACTGCTTAGATTTGTAGGGCCCTAAATATTTTTCAAAGGCTTTGGTCTCCATTGCGTTTCATGCATACCCCAGAGGCAGCCTCCTGTGTAGCTGCAGTGGTCTCTGTACTACAGCTGGAGGCTTGCACATGTAGACCATTGAAGTTAGAAAGACATTCCTCTTTCTGGCATGAAGTCAGCTCTTAAATAATCACAGGTGGTCTCCAAGGCAACCTCAGCCCTAGTGTGCCACTATCTAACACTCAGAAAGATAGCTAATACCTTTGCCCATCAAACCAACACTCCCTTTTTTCCTACAGGGCTGTCTTTCTTCTTTGGACATTTCCCATCTAAGCTGCAAACACTCTTTTGTCATCTATTAGCCTGGCTCACGGAGAAGGGTTTTCTTGGCAGCTTGCTTTTTATTTTTTTTTTTTTTCCCCCAGTGGCTGATTGCACCTACCCTTTGACATAGGAATGAGAATTTGCTAGATTTGGCTCCTGTCAGTAAAATGAGGGCTGCATGTGAGCCGTGGCTCAGTCAGGCATTTCCCAGTGTTGCACACAGGCTTTCCATCAGGGAAGATGTTACTATGACACAGCCTTCCTCAAATCACACCCTAGACTTTTGAAATAAGGAAATGGAGAAGTTTTCACGTCACACAAATTTCCATTAGAGAAGCAGCAGAGGAGGAAAGGGTGGGGCTGGCTGCTCAGCCAAGCAGTGTGCTGATGATCTAGGTATCCATTTACTGATGAAGTTCCCAGGTGGAGGCAGGTTTTCTGGCGCACAGAGCCAAGCCAGGTTGTTATGAAGTTTCCTCCACAGTCTAGAAGTTGTGTCCTGGTTACAGGGAGATTCTCCAAGGTCAAACAATCTATTGGCATGACTTCCCTTAATTTTCTTTGTGTGGAAACTGGGTGCATGGGGAACTGCTTTGCAGCCTGGTCTGTCCTCTCTGTGGAGTCAGCATATAGACTGGGCTCCAGTTGTGGGGCATTCTGCCCCTTGCTTAGCTCCCTGGGAGGCCCAGGAACTTGTCTTCATTTTTCCATGCTTCCAGCACCTGAAAATTGAGCTGATGATAATCCTTTCTTTCCCCTTCTCTTCACCTGTGGGCATTTGTAATGCTGTTTTCTGGAAAACATGTACGCTCAGCAGCATGGTTTGTAGATCAATAATTACTCTTAATGCTGTGTTTTGAAAGTCAATGCAATTTTTTCCTCCTCTCTCACTTACTATTCTCTTTTTTGATGTATGTGGTGCTGGCCACAGGCAAGTCTGTGTGGAAGTCTTAAAAGAAGGCACGTTTTCAGTGAGCCCATGACGCTCTTATGCTTAACGTCTGCCTTTCCTTTCATTGAACGCCAATGACTCCTGGGCTTGCAGTGATATGAATTTTCCACAGGTCTCTCATGTAGTTCCACTTTTTCCTTTAGGCTTCCTTCCACAAACTCATGCTTACGTCCAAGCTCAGCATTAGTAATAGGCTCAAGTGGCAGCTGGAAGAAGAAGCCAGCAAGCTGCTGGTGGAGAACAATTTATTGAATGCTCTTAGACTATGTTTCTGCTTTGGGAAATAGGAGTCTGAACCACTTGGGTGGATAATTGGAAGAGGGTAAAGGGAACAGGCTTTCTAATGAACTGGAAAGATCAGTATTCTCAAACGTGTTCCGTTCTGTTTACGGGTATTCACATAAACCCAATATTTCCTGACTGCTGGAATGGAACTGATTATAGAAAAGCACATGCAAACCATATCAAACCCAAAATGAGGTAGGTGGGTGTGTGGGAACACAGGGAGCATCTGGGATTTAAGTCATTTGCAACTCCATTTTGAGTGCTGACTGGGTCTTTAAAAGCAGCTACTGAAACATGTTTCAGTTTTGCCCTTAATGTTTTCTGTGAATTATGTGAGCACAAAATTGGCTAGGAGAGTAGCGAGAGGGTGCAGACAATAGTGAAAACACACCACCTCCGGCTTTGCTTTCACTCGTGGAGGATGAACACACATGTCACCCTTCTCTAGAGTGAGAAGTCAATCCTATTCATTTTTTGTGGCTTGGAGTCCTGATATTTATTTCAGGAATACCTTGTGTTCCTGTGATTAGGGACTTTTTCGGTTTCGAATGCACTTTTGCAGTCCTGTACCTAACTTCCCAGTTAAGCTGTTCACATGTTAAGGAAAAACATTTCTATGACTTTTGTGTTAACAGAGGTTTTCTTAGCCTTGAATTTAAAACAATACAAAACAAACCGAAGAAATAACAAAACCATCAGGTACAGTAGCAGCACTTCTCTCTTACCAGTATCCCTGCTCCCAGAATGCCATGGAAAAACCAGACCAGATCCGTTATCTCGCCGAGCTGCAGGACTCGTCCGTTGGGGAAGTACAGGAGGATGTTGGAGACTATGGCGCAAGCTGCCAGTGGGAACAGAGTGATCCCAATGCACTTGGAACATTTCCGCGTGCACATGGTGGCTCTCTGCTGAGGAAAGAGGCAGGGAAGGCTGGGTTACTGCAGCGCAGGGGGCACGGCATTTCAGCACTTTTCTTCAAAGAAAGAGGAATCAGTTTTGAAGCAAGAAATGCTCCAGTTAAGACATGTTGAGATAAACCTGTTCTACAAAGCCTGTTCCTTTCAGAAGCTTTATTTAAAATGGAATTATTTAAACCTGGAATGTTTAATTGAATTTATTTAACATTTCCAGGACTAAACAAGTGTTGGTATGAAATGAATGGAGAGTTTTATTTTAGTTGTTAATGGACAATTGTCTCTACACTGGGAGCATCAGTAACAGAACCATGGCTGCACAGACTGATACCATTGCTGGCAGACTTCATGGTGGGGCCAAAGACAGCCTTGGGTGGAAAGGAAGGTTCCACCATCTTGAGAAGCTGCTTTGAAATCTCCTGCCCTGAAGAGGTATGCCCTCCAAAGAGCAGGAAATGGCTTCCAGAAATGCCATAGAAATGTTCAACCCTGCCTTAGCATTGAGGCAGATGGGAGAGCCTCACTAGGGCTGCCATCATCTGGATTTTCTCTGTTTCAGTCAAAAAAACACTCTCAGCAAGAATGGGAGAAACTTTCATTACTGTTTCCTGTGGCATGCCTATTCTGCAGATATGTGTAACCTGTGGGTTACGGGGCTGTTTGGCACACACTCTAAAATATCCAAAAAACTGGAAGCATGCCTAATCTTGTGGTTACTTGCTAAGGGCAGGTCACAAAGCCATCCCACCTAGTTCTCAGAGATCTGCCTTACTATGTAAAACAACAGCTTAATATTTCACAGTGGTCAGGTTCTTCTTTTAGAATCAAAGAATCATCTTTTAAAATCAAAGAATCAACATAAATGAAGCACTGGTTAAAAGGAATCTCTGTAGGTCTGCAGTCTGACCTCCTGGTGAAAACAGCACTACCACCTACACTAGGTTGCTGTGTCAGCCATGGTTTTGTGTAGCTGAGCTTTGAAAACCTCCAAGGATGGAGCTACCACTGCCTCTCTGTGTGGCCAGCCTCTTGGTGGAAAATATTTTTCCCCAAGTCCTGAATCTCCCAAGCTATAAGCATGGCTGTTGCTTCTTGTTATATCCTTTCCCACCACTCTACCATGTCTGTCATTCCCTTCCAAGTTTTTTGTAAGCTGTTAGATCCTTCTTCCCCAACGTGAACAACCTCAGCTCATACTGTACTCACACTGTCATCTGTAGCCAAAGAGGAAAGCCTGATCAGTACAAAAGAGGATCCACAGCTGTTTCTCCAGGTCTGGTTGGAAACTGCAGATTACTGGGTCAGAGATTATTGAACTTTCACACTGCCATTAACAAACTGATCACTACTTCTTCATGATGTTTTATCATGATGTCTTATCAAGACTCAAATCCATAAAACCCACAAAATATCAACCTGTGCATTTCTGTCCTCAGAGAAAGCTGACAGTTAATAACAAAGAAGGCTTTGCTCTCCCATGAGCAAGTCACAAAGTGTAAGAGAAGGAAAATGATCTGGACACACATTATGTCAGTCACACACCTGTGTTACACATGCAGCCGTGCAGCCGTGCACACGCACATGCCTATGCTTGCTACGTGCAAATCATTTTTGTAATAGCTGAAGTAATAAATAGTGAAATGTCCCTCAATTTAGTCATGTGTGTTGGCTAATCCTGAAAGTTTTGTGACAGAAGTTGGTGTTGAGAAGGTATTAAGCGGGCTAGGAGCACAGAAATCAGTTGAGGTTGGGTTCCCAAGCAAAAAAAAGGCGAGGTGAGAGACAGCATAAAGATACTTAAGAAAACCAGAGACAGGTTGAAACTGGCTTCATTAACAGAACGAAGACAGCGAAGAGGTGAGGTAAGGCATGAAGACAGACCAATGTCCTCAGACCTCTGTAACTGAGAGGGAAAAAAGAAAGACTTTATGAGTTGCCATATATTGCTGTGAGGTAGATGAGACTTCCAGAGAATTTTTCTGAATTTGCATTTCCGTGGCAAAAGATTTGCATTGTTTTCTGTTGTTACGAGTTTAATAATGATACGGTGCTTATATGCCTTTTGTTCTGTGCACTTTATGATCATATTATACTTTTTAATCCAGTTTTAAAACAAGTTAACTAGCATTAAACTATTCAGAAGGGAATATTTTCAACAGAGATGCTTCTTATTTTAAGGTCACAACCTATTGTTTTTATAGCGCTCATTGGGCAGGGAATTTTGCCAGCCTCTGGAAAACAGCCCCAGCTCAAAGAGATAAAAATCTAAGCAGACTGACAATGTGCAAATGAAAGATGAAGCGGGAAGAGAGTAGAGGGAAATGGAAAGACTATTGGATGCTTCGCCTTTCTCTCAAATACTCAATGCATCTGTTATTTTTTTACACTGATTTTGCCTGTCTGTTTTTCTGTCTCATTACAGTTTTTGCTTTTCCATGTGTTTGTTCTACTTCCCCTCCCAAGAGAGAAGCAAACAAGCACAGGCACAGCCTGGCCTCTTTCCATAAAAGCTAAGTCTTGTAGGCGAATTATAAATTCTCTTCTGCATCTTTCGTGCATAGCTGGAGGGCCTAATTCTTGCACGTTGCAAAGCAACACAATGCTGTTTTGGCTGAAAGAACAGGGATTTACAGCCCATTCTCTCTGACCTATCTCAGTACCACTTCAAACTGCAAGGAGAACTTAGACAAACATCACTCAGAAGACCTAGCGAGAGCCTCTGCCACCAAAATCAATGTTGCTGTGTACATCAGAGGTTCTGACCATGTTATTACAGCTTAGGAAAACACTCTGGATTGCCAGCAGCACTCAAACCACTTCATTAATTCAGCAAACAGAAGCACTTTCTACAGCTTCATTAAGCAAGGTGACCAGAGCAAGCTTCTAATTTTTAACTGGAGTTTTAGAAAGTTTTTCTTTTTAATGCTGAGGGAAGCATGCAAATACTTTTGCATACCTTCTGCACAGGGCTAAGATGGCCTCCAGGCTCCAGAGTTCCTTGCAGGTGGCTTCAGGCTTTCCAGCTCCTCTCTTTGGGAGCCTGGCGGTCTGAGGGAGGCACAGTGATGTTTCCAGGCAATGGCCTCTGTTAAACAAATAGCTGTTTCTCTCCAGAGCATGAGGAAATACCCCAAGTTATCCCTGGTTGGCCAGTGCAAGGTTGGTGTGTCACCCACCATTATTGATTATATTAAGGCAGTGTTCCAGTGGTCAATGCCTCAGCCCCGGGGGACATGCAGATCAGAGCAGTGGAAACCTTTTTACTGCTGCCGCTGTTTCAGCCAAGCACAATTTGGCAGAAGAGGAAAGGCAGGAGATGGCAGCACTGCAGGACCACAAAGAAGAACAATGGGTGTACGGCAGAAAACGTGGTTGAAGCACAAAGTGGTGGCCACTGCTGTGGAGCCGTCTTCTGCACAAGAGGATGTTAAAACTTGATGGCTGTTAAAACTTGGCACTGAATTTGCTCCAAAGAATGCTGCTGGGAGAGCTGGGTGAGGAGGGTGGGGATGGAAAGAAAAAAAAATTCTCAATAAGATGGGGACAGGGGCAGAAAGGCTGGAGAGAAGGGAGAGGTGTGACCAAGGGAGGAAGCAGGGAAAGAAAAACACGGTTCCAAGGAAGAGAGAGGGGGAATATGGCAGGTAAACTGAAGATTCACTTTGTCAGAGAAGGAGAGAAAGGTAGAAGAGACACTATGGATGGGCCAAGAAATGAAGAGTGTAAAAAAACATTAAAACTAAACAGGGAGAAGACTCACGAAGTGGAAAAAGGGACTTTTGTGTCCCTTCATAGAAAATGTGTGTAGTAATAAATGTTAGAATATGTCCAAGCACCAAAACAGTGAAAAAGCTCATATCCCTCTAATCCCTCAGACCAATGTTTTTGACTGAAAATACTCCCCTCTGGCAATCATCTGCTGTTGCCTTCTTCTCAACATCCAGATGAAAGAATGACTTGATCACAAAAACATTAATGAAAAGGGCACGTGAGTGAAAGCAAAGAGGCCAAATATCCCACTCTTTACTCTGCTGTCTCTCATCTTCATTCCTTAATCTCACCATGAAAGATTGGTTGTGTGAAATGGAAATCATTTTACATGATTTTGGATGTCCATGAGGTAGATGTCATCCTAGACTGCATTTATTCATAGTGAGTGAAGCAGACACTTTTAAGGAAAAAAATAATAAGATCTATTTTAGGAGTTACTGTAGGGTTACAGTAAATCATTAATGGAGAAAGAATGTCAACACTTGTTCAGATCTATATGTTGTCACCTGCGGTCTGATCAATTGCATCCATGGGGACCACTAGCATGGCAGGGTCGCTGCAAAAACGTAGGGGCAAAGCTTGGGACTTCAGTCCCCAGGCTGCATGTTTAATACACCAGTATCAGAGCATGCAGGGAAGGTTGTTTCTATCACTGACTCACAGCCAAATTAAAAACTTCAAAAAGCTCATAGAATTATCTCAGGCAAAGAACCTCATTACAATGCATATGGCAAAAACCAGGAAAACTGAGAGGAACCAACTTAACCTTATGCCCCAAAATTCAACTGACATCAGTGGCAACAGCATTTCACCAAGTTTATTTGTGGTGCTTCAACTCCAAGGAAAAGGAACAAAGTAATTCTCAGAGAATCTTCAGAAAGGGCAAAGGCAAAAGGCCTAATGCCATTTAAGGCATTTACAAAATTCAATTTAGAGCAACTTGAAGACCGTTGACAATTTCCACTGACAGCTAAAGCACCTGAAGGGGACTTACCAGCTTATGTAGCGAGTTGAGGAGCAAATAAGGAAACTTCATAATGATACTGAAGATGAACCCTCCTCCTAAATCTCACATTCAGGTTGCTTGGAGTTTTTATAAACTCTTACCCTAATATCTCTAAGGTACCACCTTTTCCATTCTCACATAGGTAACACTCTCATTTGGGCTCAGCATTCTTGAATTTGACTCTGCTTTTCTCTGGTTTTGCCCGGCTT